TTTTTTTTTTTTTTTTTGAGGTGGGTTTCCCCCATGTTACCCAGGCTGGCTTTGGTCTCTGGGGCTGAAGCAGTCCTTCTGCCTTGGCTCCCTCATAGCCGAGACTGCAGATGCCTGCCATCTCTCCCAGCCTGCCTCATCCAGTACCTACTTCTTCACCTCGCCGAAAACTAAGGGATGTCTTGCACCCCAACCTGGAGTCAAGTGCCTGTTATATCATCTCATTGGGAACTGGGTACCTTGACGATTTTAAAGGCACAGACCCTTTGACTGCCCCCACTTAACAAGAGGAGCCTGGCAGGCTGGGGATTTAGCTCAGTGAGCACCATGCCTGCCTCACAAGTGCAAGGTCCTGAGTTCGATCCTTGATAACCAAGAAAAAAAAAAGGTTGGCAGATTTACTCAAGGTCAGGTGGTAAACATGTGAGGTCGGGACTGCTCCAGGGGCAGTCACATATCAGGACTGGGCTGGGACAGGTGGTGGGGACCTTAGTGGCTCATGGAGCCACCTCAGCCAGCCCCTCCAGAGTCTCCCCAGGCCCTCCCAATTACCTCATGATGCAGGCTTCTAAAGTCTGGAGCTCCATTCTTGCTGCTCTACTTAGTCTGACTCAAATCTAGGGAATGTTTAAAAATCTCATGGCTTAGCCGGGCATGGTGGCACACGCCTGTAATCCCAGCACTTGGGAGGCCAAGGCAGGAGGATTGCTGTGATTTTGAGATCAGCCTGGGCTATCTAGTGAGTTTCAGATCAGTCTCAACTACACAGTGAGACCCTGTCTCAAAAAAACAAACAAAAAAAATCTCGTGGTTTTGTTCTGCTGTGTTACTCCAGTGATTTCACCCCTTGGTCCAGGGGAACCAGCCAGTAGGTGTGATTGTAAGAGTACTTGTGTGTGAAGAATCCTTTTTTCATATTTTTACAGCCAGAATAAAAGAAATTTTGAGTTTACTTTTGAACAGTGATGGTTACTGCTGCTACTCCTTCCCAGACCTCCTGAGGGAGTAAGAAGCCCTGCTTGAGGGTCTTGTGCTGCACGGGCTATGGAAGGGCCTTTGGGTAGTGCTCCTTATGCTCAGTCCTGTACAAAACTTTAATACAGAGTTGTTTTGTTTTTGAGATAAGGTCTCGCTATGTAGCTTAGGCTGGTCTTCAACTCACTATGTAGTTCAGGATAGCCTTGAACTCATGGCAATCATCCTGCTTCAGTCTCCTGAGTGCTAGGTGTGTACCACCATGCCCAGCTTTATTTTTATTTTTGTGGTACTGGGGATTGAACCCAGGACCTTTGCATTGAACTACATTCCCCTACCCACTTTTATGTTTTATTTTAAGAAAGTCTCATTAAGTTGCCTGTGCTGTGCTAAAACTTTTTGATTCTCCTCTCTCAGCCTCCCAGAGTGATGGGATTACAAGGGTGTTCCGCCCTATCCAACAAGGAGCATTTCCTATGAATATCATGTGCTGAAAAAAGAGCTAGAAGTCTGGAATAGAAAATGACCATGCCCATCAGGCATGGTGGCTTGAGCTGGTAGTCCCAACTATTCAGGTGGCCACAATAAAGTCAGTATCAATATGGTGACCTCCCAAGCCTTGGGGACACCAAGGTGCCTAAGGAGAGGTGAGCTGGGCCTAGTTGAAAAGGGAGCTGATCAATACTCACACTTGTGCAATTAGAAAATGTCCAGGGCCAGGGATTTAGCTCAGTGGTTCTGCCCCCTACTTCACAAGCACAAGGACCCGAGTTTGATCCCTGGTACAAAAAATAGAAAGAATGAAAATGTCCATACCTTTTTGAAGGATGGAAAATTTTAGTGTCTTCTTTATTCTGTGAACTTCCCAGGGAGGAACCCTAAAAGAAACAGCTGCCTTGGAATTGAGAGGGCACCTGCATTCCAGAGAATGATGTGGACATGTCCATCTTGGCAGACACCTGCATATATGAGGGTTTTCTTACAGAGCACGCTGGGTGGCTTATGGCAACTGCACTACCACCAGGCTTGTCATCACCAGCTTACCAAGTTACTGTCTATATACGGCTCTAAGTAAAATGACAGAAAACAGGCAAAAGACAGAGTCCAGGGAGAAGTTCTGTGTTTGTATGCACTGTTCCCATCGCATGCTTACCAGAGTCCCATGGTTGCAGCCATTGCTGCCATTGTGGATGGATGACCTTGTAATGCTGCAGCCTGGCACACAGCCTCAGCCTCTCAAGGGGCCACTACAAAATGCTGTTGCTCTGGAGAGGGTTTGGAGGACTGTTCTCCCACACTTCTTGATTTAGCCACAGAGGCTACTCTAAGTAACAGCTGGACTGAGTGTGGTGGAAGTGGCTAGGAGAAGTCAGACAAAGAAGGATATAAGAGTTGACACAGTGTTTCTATTTTTCCTAGTTAAGGAAATTCCACCATCAGAACAAAAATCTCAAAATACACATGTTCTAATCAAAGCTGTCCCTCTTCATTCAGGCACAATGGTGGCATATGCTTGTAATCTCAGCACTTAGGACACTGAAGCAGGACGATCTCAAGTTGGAGGCCAGCCTGGAATACACAACAAGACCCATCTAAAAAAAAAACAAAACAAAACAAAAGCAGGCCATGGGAGCACACACCTATAATTCTAGCACTCAGGAGTCTGAGGCAGGAGGATCACCATGAGTTCGAGGCCAGCGTGAAGTAGATAGCTCAGATCCTGTCACAAGAAACAAAAACAACAAAAGCCAAAGAAAGACAAGCAATTATTTGTCTCAAAAGCAGGCCAGGAAAGCAGGTTCAAGGAACCGTAGGGGTGGAGGGGCTGCAAAGAGGAGCCAAAGCAGAAGGACTACAAGTCCCATGGTGCATCGGAGGGCCTGAGCAAGCTGCCGCGTTCAACTCTGACTTCCTGCCGCAGAGGGCAACGGCGTCCCCCTGGGGCCAAGATGGCCTGCCCCGACCTCTGTGGCTATGATTCCATGAGGCCTCCGCCCCCGGAACGCCTCTCCAATGGGCACCGCCGTAGTGTCCATGGTGACGGCTGCGGCTGCCAGCTTGCTCAAAGAGCTAGGAGCTAACGCCGAGGGGGAGTGGGCTCCCTTCGTGTCCGCGGGGACCGTGGTCCTGTGAGCACAGAGGCCCAGGAAATCCCCAGGAAGAGCCAGAGCTGGCAAAGGGCGGCCATGAGCTACCAGCTGAGCCCAGCTTCAGGCCGCTAGGGGCAGATCCTCGCCACCTCGGGTGGGCAGTGCCCGCCGTGGACAACTCTTGCACAAAGGGTCTTAGCCATCGGGTGCCTGGCCCCAGTGTGTCCCAGGACAGATCTAGAAGACATGTGATCTTTAGCTTTATTTTATTTTTAGTACCAGGTCTCGAACTTGGGATCTGCATTTGTGAGGCAGACAGAGGCACCACTGAGCTAAATCCCTGGCCTTCAGCTATATTTTAAACAAAGTTTTTGGTTTTGAATTTTGTGCTGGTGATGGAACTCAGTACATGAGTTAACCAGCATGGTTAACTATACTTTATTTATTTATTTATTTATTTATTCTTTTTTTGGTACTGGGGATCGAACTCAGGACCTTGCGCTTGCGAGGCAGGCGGTGGCACCACTGAACTAAATCCCCAGCCCAATTATTATTGTTATTATTATTATTATTATTATTTGTTTTGTTTTGTTTTTTTTTTTTGAGACTGGGTCTCACTATGTAGTTGAGACTGACCTAGAATTCACTATGTAGCCCAGGCTGGTCTTGAACTCACAGCAATCCTCCTGCCTCAGCCTCCAGAGTGCTGGGATCACAGGCATGCGCTACCACACCTGGCAACTATCTATATTTTAAAGAAAAGATATCCCCACTCCTCCCAGTCATCCTTTCTCCTGTTCAGGAACAACAAAAAAACGAGTCTCCTCTCCTGCCAGCTGTGTGCATCTCCTACAGGCACTAAAGTATGTTGTGTGATCCAGCGTGATCCCAGATGGATAGGGACTGTCAGAGAATCCACATCTCACCGGCATCCCACACCCCAATACCCTTGCAAACACCCTGATGTTCAGTAGGATCGTTCTGGTCTTTTTGTTTTGCTTGTTTTTTCAATATATAGTTCAGCCTGGCCTTGAACTCACTACATAGCTCAGGCTGGCTTCAAACTTGGAAGGTTCCTCCTCAGCCTCTCCTGCCTCAGCCTCTCAAGTGCTAGGATTATAGGCTTGCACCACTCTGATATATATTTCATCCTCATCCCCCTCCTCTTAGAATCTAAAAAGATGGAGCCAAGCACCTGTAAGAACAGCGGAACTGAGGAAGACTGTGTTGAGGAAGAGGAATCTGAGGAGGAGTGTGTTAAAGAGGAAGCTCTCATCCTTTCTAACCCTTCGCAGCAGGCCTTTTCAGAGGCTGACCATAAGGCATTTGAGGATGGGGTTCCCTTAGCTATTACAGCTAAGAAAATTATAGCTCCAGCTGACACAGATGATGTAGAAGTTGGGAGGAGAAAAAGAAGGCGAAAACGCAGGTAACCTTTCCCTGGACCTTCTCATCTCCCTGGCTCTGAAGTCACTTCTGGCTTCCCTTCAGCATTTGGGGGCTTGGGGCTGGTATCTAAGCTCTTCACTTTAGCCTTCAAAACAGAAGAGTAAAGTCTGGGGCATCATTAACCTTTTGGTATCAAAACAAAACAAAATTCTGGGCTGGCTCAGTTTGGAATTGCAGCAATATTCAGTTTATATCAGTGTTTCCTTTAAGTGGATTTTAGAGAAAATGAATTCTGAATGTCTTGGGTATCTTCATTT